CCAGCCAGGGTGATGAGCAACGGAGCCGAAAAGGGGCATCTTTCCTCTTGGAGGACAGGCCCGAACCCTGCCCCGTGGATTTCCCACCTGATGGTAGGAATACCCTCCTTTCAGGGCCTAGAGGAGTAATCAGGGTCCTGGCGGGAGATCTGAACCAGGGTGATGGGCTGGCCTGGACAGGATGGGGACCTCAAGACAGAGGAGTCGCCAAAACGTTTGCTGAATGAATGAAAGTCGAGGAATAGAGCAGCGATCTTACTATACATCCAGAAGACGCCTAGAATGTCAAAAAGGCTGTGCTTTTCAGTCCTGGTTGGGAAAGCCAGTATGAATTGAGGGAGGGTCAAGTACAGGAAATGAGTACAGTCCCTGCTAGAAGCTACACACAGTCCGGCATACCTTTACTTACAGCCCTGAGCAGTTCAGCGAACTTCACTTGTCCACTGCCAGATGTCCTCATTTGTCTAGTTCCTACCCAGCCATGTGATGCCCCACATGGGGCTTACAGTTTACAGCTCTTTTTTTTTTTTAATCTCACACTCTTGCTCACCCACTGTTTCCCACAAAACAATTGTACTGCCAGGAAGCTGGATTCAGAGGGGCATCCAGGTCTCAGCCATGTCCTACTGAGGCCAACAATTTCCCCGGATCCGTGAGGCCTTTGTGTGGAACCCTGGTCAAATCTTTTCAAGGTAATCGCAAATCCTAATGGTCTGGATAACCTGGGAGTTTTATAGGAGCTCCTCTGTTCACCTCCAAAAGACCTTTCAATATGGGAGAGCAGGGGTTAGGATCTCACTCCCCGCTCAGAAGAAACAGTCATCACTTACATGGTTGGGTAGGCACGCCAAGACAAAATCAAAAGAACCTATACCATAGTGGTTAGTATAATACTTATTTTAAAACCGCAATCTAGTCTCAGCAAAACATCAACCCAAATCAATGCAATTTGAATATTACTGAATTTGAGTGTTCAGTTTTAATTGTGTAATAACCTATAAACTGTCAACTGAAGTAAAATCACACAATGTGAGAGTTGTGAGTTGTTTTATTTGGGGCAATATGAGGACTATAGCCCAGGAAACAGCATTTCAGATAGCCCTGAGTAACTGCTCCGAAGAGGAACAGGGGAACGTCAGTATTATAAATGATATTAGTGAAGGGGGGCATGGTACATGCAGTCAAGCACACATTTTGGCAGAGGCTTGCTGTTAGTCACACGAAGCAGATGTCACCATTAATGATTTTAGTGCTTTTCTAGATATGAGGAAACCCAAGAATTAGGGCTCATAAAATCTTCTCCAGAAAATATCTAACTATCTGGGGGCCTGTTCTGCATGTTTTTTCTAGAGCATAGAGTACCTCATTTCTGGTCTCCACTCTCTGAACTCCTTTCAAGGAGTGTTGAAGGTCAGCGGCTGCAGGCGCTCATTATTTAATCCAAGCAAAGGCAGACAGCAAGTGCCACCCTGATTCAATCCTTTGAGAGGCAGATGGCAAGTGCTGAGTTTTAGTTGGCAAACATAAGAATTTATATCAATCTTTAAGGGTACAATATTTAAATACCTTTTCTTACAAACTTTACAAATTCTTAAGCATCCAATTGCTTTAAATAAAACCCAAATTAGCATATTTTTAGCCATTTAGAGCCTGCCTGCTTTGCATATTGCTCGTGAAACTGCACCTAATATCTTCTAGCCACGTATAAGACAAGCTGTGACCATAAAAGACTCCAAACTACTCTGCCCTTCAAAACTCTCTGACCCAGAGACTCCTGCCTTGCTGTTGAGCGACACTGCCTAGACAAGTAAGCCTCCTTTCTCATTTGCTTTCCCCTAGAATTCCCTTGCCTTCCTCCCTGCTCAGCTGCCCCCTTCAGTGAGGGACTTCCCCCTCTTACGCAGTCAGTATGGAGGCTGCCCAGTGACTATTGTTGTGCACTAGCGCCATCTTGTGGTTTTGTCTTTCTCTTTTTTTTTTAATGTTTTTTATTAAGGTATAGTTGATGTACAACACTATGTAAGTTAAGTTTCATGTCTTGTCTTTTTCTTGATCATCCCCCAAATCCTAGAACTCACCACAGAATTGAAACAACATAGATCTTCTTGCCTCTTCAGTTCTTTAATACTATTTATTGAATGCTGGTTACATCATTACTAAAGAAATTGCATCATTATGCCACCCACAAATACTGGCTTCCAGTGACATCCTCAACAGTTATTACAATGACTGCAAATACAAGACTTACACGGAATATGCAGGAAAATATGAATTATAATGTTTTCTGGTCATGTTACATTTACCATTTGGAATGTGATATAGCATAATCATTGAATCACAGATGTTACAACCATGATTTCTCTTGAACTGCTGTCTTAGTCCGTTCAGGCTACTAAAACAAAATGCCATAGACTGGGTAGCTTATAAACAACAGAAATATATTTCTTACAGTTATGGATGCTGGGACATTCGCGATCAAGTCACCAGCACAGTGGAATTCTGGTGGGGGCCCTCTTCCTGGTTCATAGGACCATTTTGCTGTGTCCTCACATGGTGGAAGGGGGCCAAGGAGCTCTGTGGGATCTTTTTATAAGAACGCTAAGTCCATGAGAGCTCCTCCCGAAGGCCCTGCCTCCCAATACCATAAAATCAGGATTAGGATTTCAACATAGGAATTCGGAGGGGGACACAAGCATTGAGACCATAGCAACTGCTATAATCATTGCATTCCTAGACAGTGCTGTCTTTCGATGCTGGTCACCCCTCTCCCTTCCGTCCACCGACAGCAGTGGGGAGCTAAGCAATGGGCCCATGGGTAGAGTGAGAAGACCAGTTCAATTCACCCAAGAAATGCCCGTCCCCTGCAGGGTCCCCTGCACACCCTGGGCACATGCCCTGGGGTGGGACCTTGTTTTCCTAGGTCTAATGATGGTGCTGGGCACACATTGAAGTGCATGGCTAGAGAGCGGCACAGACCATTTCACAATGGCCAGAAGTTGGTCAAGTAGCCAAACATGCCTGCAGGGGAAACTGGGAGAATTAGCAGTTTCTGTGGAAGCAGGAGAGAATAGAGACTAGGAGACACATAACAGCCAGTACCATGACCACTGCAAGATAGACTGGAAATATGAGTATCTAACTTTCCTATGCGCTGTAGTAAAAGACAGCACTAGAGAAAAATGCTGGGAAAGGCCAGAACAGCCCACACGGCACATCAGTACATATTAGGAAAGAAGAGCCCCTAAACAGATACAATCTCATGGGTACGTGACACATGGCGAATGGAACAAGGGCAGGATTTCAACTCCCCATCCACCCCTTACACCAGTTCCCCTTGTCAGGGCACGGTTATCACAACCACACGGGGTAGATCTGGAAATGGCTCTGGAATCAGCCAAGCAGTAATGTTGTCCCTCATTCCTCCCCACACCACCTCTTGTGAACTATTTGGTACTTTTTCAACACATTTCTCCGTACTTATACAATGTTAAAAAACAAACAAACAAACAAACAAACAAACATGCAGAGGGCCTGAGCTCTATCTCTTCTACACACTGAGAAAGGCTGTAACTCTCCAAGCCACAATTAGGTAAGTATTCCCAAGGAGAAGGTCTGAGTGAATGTGAGATTTGTTTACGCACCTCCTCTCTCTCAAACATCATCACGTTGCATTGATTGGTACTGAATATCTACAAACAGCTGTTCACTGTTTTTTTCCAAATGTGGTCCACTTTGAGAAATTAATCAATCCAGAAATCCACCTCTTCTCAAGATGTAGAAAACTGAAGAATATGGCCCCACCCTTGCAGTAAAAAACAGCCCATCTGAAAATTTTCCCTGAAGACATCAGAGAGCTCAAGTCTCAGAGTAAACAACTTAACCCAAAATCTGAGGAAAGACAGACGCTTTCAAGGAGAGACAATCATTGCTGATAACATTTTCCTTTGATTTCTCGGGGTGGGGGGACATCTACTTTTTAAAAGATTTTAAATTCTTTTTTAAAAATATTTAAAACTTAGCAGATAAAAGGTTACATGGTATGAACTATTGACACAATAAGAAGTAGAACTGGGAAACTAACATGAAAAAACATTCAATCTCACAATTTATATTGAAGAAGTGTTTTAAAAACCTGAATTCCCATTTTACACTTATTAAGTTAACATTTCTATTTTTTAATTATAATACTGTTGGTTGCAAGCAAATGCAAAGTTGCCACATTGCTGGAGGCAGAATAAATTGGTATAAACTTTAATAAACAACATGTAGTGACATGTTTCAGAAACAAAAGTGTTCATACCTCTGGGTTTGTATTCTCATTCCTGACAACTGATCCAAAGGAAATAATTCAAAAGAAGCAAAAAAAGCTATAATCACCAAACTGACTATTGCATTATTAACAGCTAACAATAAGAATTGTCCTAAATGTCCACCAAGTAACTTCAAATAATGAAAATTTACTGCCTACTGTGTGTCAGACACTGTGATGGATACTTTGGATTAAAAGACTATTTAAGACAAAGGTATTGCCCTAAAATTAATTTACCATTTGGTGAGGGGAAGAATTAATTAGGATACATCTAAGGACACGTGACTATAAATAGCAAGTCATGAAAATCACATGGAATAGGGGAGAGAAAATTTGCCTAGGATAATAGTCATTAAAAATATTTTCTTTGCAGCAACACGGATGTTCCTGGAGAATGTCATTCTAAGTGAAGTAAGCCAGAAAGAGAAAGAAAAATACCGTATGAGATCGCTCATATGTGGAATCTGAAAAAAAACAGAACATATATACAAAACAGAAACAGATTCACAGACATAGAATACAAACTTGTGGTTGCCAAGGGGGCGGGGGTGGGGACAGACTGGGATTTCAAAATGTAGAATAGATAAACAAGATTATACTGTATAGCACGGGGAAATATCTACAAGATCTTGTGGTAGCTCACAGTGAAAAAAAAATGTTACAATGAATATATGTATGTTCATGTATAACTGAAAAATTGTGCTCTACACTGGTATTGGACACAACATTGTAAAACAACTATAACTCAATAAAAAAGTTAAAAAATATTTGTTATGATTAAGATTATATAAATCATATATGCATATGGGACAAGGACTAAGAGTGGACATATAAAAATGAAAGTATGATCTCTTGGGATAGTGGAATTGTAGGTACATTTTGCCTTTATAATTTGTGCAATACTGTGAACATTTTTCTCATTGGTATACGAGAAAATTCATACTATGTGAACATTCTCTGAAGGATAAGCCACATGTCATAAACAAATAAACCTAAAAGGAAAATACTCATTTAATGACATACATCAATGGCAAATATTTTCCTTTAAAAAAAACTTATTAACGTAAACTTTAGGGAGTCCAGATGGCCATTTTCTTCTTTGCGTATTTGCCTGGTGGTCGTGACTGCTTCTATTTGCATTAGATCCTAATCTTATACTTATTAGTATGCATGGCAATCTCCAATAAACACCTCCACCCCGGGCTGGTCTCTGGTGATTCTCCCAATGTAAACACAGGGTGCCCTCGCCCACAGTGGTACCATTGGTGTATCTGTTCACTGGCTATGGATTGCCTGTGTCCTGGAAGGTTGTTTCCTACTTGATCAGAAGCTATAAATCAGCTCTGGCCTGAGCAAACCAGTGAGTGTCTCTGCCATCAATGGGCCACAACTACACCTTCTTCAACAAGGTCTGAACCCCAGCCTTGGGGCGAGGCCTCCCTTCCAGGTTTGTCCTTCCATGGGTACACTCCAGAAGCACTAGGGTACCATACAGAGTTCTCTCACCTCTTATAGGCTACTCTTTCATCATAGCTTAATAACTTTATATTAAACTTTCCCCTTTCAAATCACTGTTGGTGTCTCTCTCCTGATTGGCCCCAGGCTGACAGGCACTTTCGTGTGTCCAGTTACCTAAATACTAAGCTGGTATTCCATAGGACTCCATCCTGGGTCCTTATATTTTGCTGCACTCTCTGGGGGCAGTACTGTCCAATAGACTTTTCTGCAATAATGAAAATGTTCTAAGCCTGTGTTATCGAATATGGTAGCCAACTGCCACATAGAGTTATTGTGTGCTTGAAATCTAGCTAAGGACCTAAAATTTTAATTTAACTTTAATACCCACATGTGGCTAGCGGCTACTATATTGGAAAGGGCAGCTCTAGGGGATTTCATTCATTTCTTCCCATGGCTTTAAATGCCTCCTCCTGCTCATTTGATCACTCCCACGTGTACAGCTCCAGATATCACTAACCCAGAGCTCCAACCCATGTATAAAACCACCTACTTGAAATTTCTAATTACAGATCTCACAAATGTCACAAATATTAATCCAAAACAGAGTTCTAGATTTTTCCATCCCCAAACCTATTCCCATCCCAGTCTTATTTGTTCCGGTAAGTGGCACTACTGTCTAACCCAGCTGCTCAAGCCAGAAACCAGAAGCTGTCCCTGGTTCCTCCCTGTCCACTATCCTTGTGTCCAACCCATTAGCAGCTCACTGATTTTATTTCCAAAATATATCTTAAATCCACCTTCTCTTCACTTCCATTACCACCTCCCTCTCCAGGCCACCATCGTCTCCAACTTTCCAACTACATTCACTTTTGTTCCCTTACAATCTATTTTCTATCAGCAGCCAGAGAATTTATCATCGTCTAAAAATATGAATCAAACATGTCATTCCTCCACTGAATACCCTTCAGTGACTTCTTTTCAATTAGGATGGAATTGAATGATCTAACTCATCTATCTCTACAACTCTCAGTGGTGCCACACCTACCCTGATCATTACGCTAAAACCATCTGGTCTCTTGAACACACCAAACTCTTCACACGTTAGGGAGTCTGCACAACTGTTTCATCTGCCTGCTGTTTCGGATACAAGAGACTCTTGCTCATCCTTAGCTCTCATGTTTCCTCCTAGGATAGGTCTTTCCTGAGCATCTATATAAAGGGCCCCCTCTTTCTGTACCTTGTTCATTCCCTCCATAGCACTTAGCAAACTAATAATTTTACTCCCGATTTTTTTTTTTTTGGCTGGTCTCTTTCACTAGAATAATGTTCCAGGAAGGCAGGAAGCAGGCCTGATTCACCATTCCTCTGCAGCCCCTGGCATAGTGCTTTTCATACTGGCAGGTGCCCGGTAATATTTGCTCAATGAACAACTTTCCCCAGACACATGTTCACGTTGCTCATTTCCATTTCCTGGATCTGTGCAGTACAAAGCAAAATTTTTACTGCTTATTAGGTCCCGCTAGCTGGACTATGCTAGGCCAGTTTCTCCTCACTACCTGGCCTTAGGCTTCAGCAGTCAGGGACTCTAGAGTTATCGGTACGTTTGTCATTTTCAGGAAGCAGAAGTTTGGTCTGAGAAGGCTTCTGGCTTCTCTTCCTTGCTCCTTCGTCAACAATTACATTCACTGGCTGGGAGCTCGTAGATGGGATGCCTAAATAGCCAATGGGGCCAACTGCTCTAAAGCTGGGGCGTCTGGAACGGAGATCTCATCTGTTTGGGCCCGTGTTCTTCTCCTCTGAGTAGGGCCTTTGGTTCACTGACCCTTTAAGATGGTTCACACCATTCATTAATATCCTGCATTTCTTCACAGTTAATATTTTAACAGCCTGTATTCCCCTTTTATAATATTGTTTTATTTTATAGACTCCTGATTTCAAGTACAGTTAATTCTGGAATCCTTCACTTTCCCTTTGCTTGCTGCATAGAATCTATGTGTTCCTAGCATTTATTTTATCTTTGATCCTGGATCCAATGAGGGCATTTGTGACTATGAGGCCAAGATACTGGACAGTATTTCCACAGCTAACTGGTTGAGGACACCCAGCAGAACATTAACCATCATCAGAGAGTGACCATTCTCCCTCCTGTGGTGATGGGCCCCTAACTTACTTCAGGATGTGGGTATTATGGTGATGAGAAGGGGACAGAATAGGAGAGAATTCAGGATAGTGGTACAATGAGAGGGGTTGTAGCTATACAAATTTTTATGGAAAAAACATTTCCCACTTGATTCACATTTTCGCAGTCCCAGAATACTCTCATAACACAAGGGCAATCAGGTCTCCGAAGACTACAGAACCCAGACTACCTCCACTGCTTTAAGTTATCTTGGTGACCTCAAGGAGGACCATAACTTCTGAGGAAGAGAAGGTCCTGGAGGTTGCAATGTAACTGCAATGTCATTATATCAAATTTGATTTTCACTGAGGTAGACTTATGAAAAGCAATATAGATAGATAGATAGATAGATAGATAGATAGATAGATACAGATAGATAGATATAGATTAGATATAGATATAGATATAGATATAGATATAGATATAGATAAAGAATATATCCAGAAAGACACAACAACAATGTATTATCTCTGAGAAGTGCTGGGAGACAGGAATGACAAGGAAATTTACTTTTCACTGAACACCTTTTCGAACTATTTCAAATTTTTTTATCATGAGCATGTTACATCTAGTCAAAAATAAATGTTTCAAAATTTGAAAAACATTTTTTAAAAAATGCAGTGTTGGTCCTCAAAGCACCATTTAGCTGGACTAGCAAGCATTAGACTATTCAAAAAATGTAAGATAGCACATAATTAAGTACCAACTTGGGTGGTACTGACTACAAGTACAAGACACAGAGGGTTCTGGTCAATGAAGAAGTGGGTCTTAAATAAGGAAGGGAAACTTTCAGCTCAGGGAAACTTGAGCAAATAAAAATAGGCAGAAACAGAAACGAATACAGGTAAAGAACAGTAGATTCTGGAGTCACATAGGCCTGGGTCCAATCTCAGTTCTAAACTTTACCACTGAACAAACTTCAATGAGTTTTATAACCTCAGATTTCTCATTTGTAAAATGGGGATAAGAGCACCTACCTTACAGGACTAAGAAAAATTAAAGAATGTATGGAAAGTGGTTACCACACTATGTGACACATGGTAGGTACTCAACTAAATGTCGCCTAGCGTGAATATGGTTGGACGGCGGACCAGTCTTACGAGAGTACAGGGTATCTGTTCAGGAGAAGGGGCAAGATAATACTGGATGCCATAGTTATAGCAAAACTGTGGGCAGTCATTTCATTTTGTTGGGGTTCCTACAACATAAGGATTATAAATAAGTATCACCAGCATGCATCCTCTAATGTTCAAGAAGGTGAGAGGTCTGACAGTTACAGGGTTTCTCTCTAGCATGGCGCCTCTGGTGCTTAATCAAAACAGAATTCTGACTGAAGGCTTTCTCACAGTCATTACATTTATAGGGTCTTTCTCCGGTATGGATTCTCTGATGACGAATAAGGTGTGCCTTGCAAATGAAGCTTTTCCCACAGTCCATACATTCATGAGGCTTCTCCCCAGTGTGGACCCTTTGGTGCTGAGCAAGATCCGAGTTCCACATGAAGCCCTTCCCACAGTCTTTACATTCATAAGGTTTCTCCCCAGTGTGGATTCTCTGATGTCGAAGAAGGGCTGGGTTCCGAGTAAAACTTTTCCCACATTCCTTACACATGTATGGTTTCTCCCCCGTGTGGATTCGCTGATGTTGTGTAAGGCTTGTGTTCTGACTAAAGCCCTTCCCGCATTCCTTACATTCAAAGGGTTTCTCTCCAGTGTGGATTCTCTGGTGCCGAATCAGGTTTGACTTCCAAACAAAGGCTTTAGCACATTCTTGACACACATAGGGTTTCACCCCAGTATGAACCCTCTGATGTGCAATGCAATGTGATCTAAAACTGAAAGTCTTCCCGCATTCCTTACACCCATAGACTTTCTCCCCGTTATGAATTCTCTGATGTTGATCAAAGTCTTCATTTTGATCAAAACACTTGCCACATTCCTCACATATATAGAACACCTGGTCACTAAGAATCTTCTGACGTACAAGAAGGTGGGTATGAACATCAGCATGCCCTGAACACTCCTCTACTGAGATCATCTCATCTCTCACAATCACTTGTATAATGTCATTTGTAGTGTTCTCCACACTTCCCCTGTTGGGGTAGTCAGGCCATCTCCCTAACCTGCTTTTCTCCTCTTCACAGGTTTTTCCAAGCCAGAATTCCTGGGAGTCATACCACTGGGGTCCACTTGATAGCACCATGTGGTCCTGTGCCTCCTCAAAAATGTTCTTCAGAATAAAATCTTTTTTCTTACTCTTCAACACACCCTCTGAAAGAAGAAACCACAGCTGCAAATGTCATCATTACCCATGACAGAGTGACTAAGGTCACCAAGTGGTATCAGTATGTCCATGTCTCTCCAAGTGCCACCCTTGTGTCTAAGTGGCCCTGATCTAGCTGAAAATGGCAAAACAGAGCTAACACACAAAAGGCAACCAAAATCAAAAGGCAGAAACTAGACAGGCAGACAGACAGTCCCTGAGGGCTGAGGGCTCTGATTCCCAGCACCAGACCAAGCATGGGGCAGGAGGGTGGGAGGTTGAGGGGGATGCTCTTAGGAAACAGTTTATAATTGACTCTAAAGGAGATGAGCTGGAGTTCCTTCTAGGTAGCTAGGTTTATAACATGAGAAGAACTGCCCAGGATTCAGAGCAAAGGACCTGTCCAGAAATAAAGAACACTTTGTGGTATGCCTGGGGAGCCTGAGCTTGTCACACACAATGGGGAGCAGAAAGAAGACTCTTCCTCATACTTTTCAATACTGAGAGAAGGAAATAAAGTCTTCTCATTGAATCCAAACACCAGGTCCACCATGAAACGTGCTTCCCCAAATTACTTAAGGCAAATATACATTTATGTATAATGTCCCATTAGATTGCAATCACTTCTGGGAGAAGAGCCATATATTACTTGATTTTTGATCCCTAGTAATGAACACAATGAAGAAAATGCAGCATTTACTTTTGAAGTGCTGGTTGACCATAGCAGCCAGATAGGTAGGTCCTCTGTTCACTTTAAGCCTAGGATGCAAGAACTCCCCCAATTTTTAACTGACCTTGTCCAAATAAAAGCTGAAAGTTTAGCGTTTTCTCTTGATTGATTGATTGATTTGGAAGTTCTTAGGGCCTTTTATTGAGAACATAAGTGGTAAATGGAATGTTAATATTTTACAAAAGACAGAGGGAACTATGTGACTGGGAGAAAGTGCGCTTTTCCCTCTCACTTACCAGTACAAATTAAGCTTGGACCCTCTCCTTGCAGTTTCCGTTTCAATGGCTCTTCCACCTCCTCAAGATGGGAGACCCCAGCAGGCTTTAGAAACGGATATCCTGCCAGGGTCAAGATATAAACAAGTCTGGCTCAGTTGGGAAGAATGGGGCCCATTAAGAAAGGAACAGAGATGGAAGTGGTACAGGAAAATGACAGTTGGTGGTAAGACAGGTAACAAAATGACCTGAAACTTGAGGCTAATAATATAAAACATAGGAAGTAAAGGTATAGCGAGGTTGTGATTCCATCAGTTCACCAAAACACAAAAGCTTAGCGCTCATTTTAAAATGTTAAGAAGAAATAGGAAAGACTAAGTAAGGTCTCTTCTGCACCTGCCCCTAGGAGCTGAAGGCTAGTTCACATAGAAAAGTACCAGGATGGGACAGAATTGCAAAGCGTTGTCCCTGAGACTATGTTGGGAAACCACAGTCTCCTAGTTTCCTTCCTATCAATCTACCGCCTTCTCTTTCCACAAGGGATCAGTGGGTCTCTCTATGGCATCCATAAGAAATGGCCTCACAGTTTTATTTAGCCATTTCCCAAAGTCACTTCTTACTCTAATGATAAGCACCTCTATTCACAAAGGTCCACTCTAATAAATTCCTCAGTCTTAACTAAGATCTGTCTCTTTGTAAGTGCCATCCAAAGCTGTCTAAGAAACAGATCAATTCTGAATTTTCCAGATGATGACCATTTACGTTGCAGAGGCAAAGGGCTGTGTGTCTCATGAATATTCTTAGACAAAAGTGGACTTTGAGTACAGACATGAGCTCCAAGGAGGTCTGCTGCAGGTCAGGGAGTCAGGGTTTTGCTCAAGGAATAACTTAGCTGTTAGCCTTCTGCCTAAAGCAAAGATAGGAAACTCTCTTGAGCGGTGGGGAAAGGAAGCACTGAGATCCTGAGAGAACGTGGAGGACACTGTAGTTGCCTCCCTACATGGCCTCCAACTTTTGCCCATTCAGGGAGTAGCCAGGCCCTCTGGGTGGGAGTGATCCCACCTCCAGCTCCTAGTACAGACCTTCACTGACCTAAGTCAGGCAGATTATCCCATCTCACTCACTACATGAGAGATCCATTCAGGGAGTAGCAATCCAGGCCAAGTCAATCAGTGCACAGTTTTTCCGTGGCTACGGTGATTGATTTAGAGCTGGCATAAAACTTAACATGGTGCATCAGAGCAACACTGGGACTTTGATTCAAAATGGTTAAAGCCTGAGGGAGGCCTGCCCTGTTTCCCCCTAGGTATGAAGGAGCACAGTCCTGGTTACAACTATTAATCATCTTACAACCATGAGAGGAGCCAGATTGTAGACAAAACCAACACACAAGGAGCCAGAGAAGAGCAGAGATTGAAATTCTGATCAAACTGTACCCACAGCCCATTCTAGCTAAGGACTTACCAGTTATGCAGAACAACAAAGCCTTCTATATTATTTAGGCCAGTTTGAATTGGGTTGTTACTTGCCATCAAGGGTATCCTAAAATGGAAAGACTGCCAGGCACAGCAGGAATTGTGAGAATGGGGAAGTTCAAGTTACACTGGTGCCCATGGAAGAGCCCCTGTGGGAAGAAGCTGAAATGGGGCCAGGGAGGCAGTAAGAGAACACAGTTCTCAGTAGGAAATTAGGAGCAAGAAAGCCCTGTGTTGGGCCTAAACAAACACTAGGGCTTTCCCATCAGAAATCCCTGAGGAATGGAAACTATTTGGCTCAGGGTTATTTAGACTTCTTGATTTCTAATGATAAAAATGGCCATGATACCCTAAAGGACAGTCAGAATCTTCTGCCGGAAGATTATAAGCAAACCAGGAAATTAGAAAGGCCACCTCAGGTCAGAAGGTAAACAGAAAAATCAGGGAGTAAAGATAAACGGTGGCCACAAAAAGAACAGTGGAGACGGGGAAGAGGCAGAACAGGTGTATAAAGATGGCACACGGAGGAGCCAGGATGAATAAAACAAGGACTCAAGAAGATGGAAAACCATGGGAACACAGAGGACAGAAAGGAATCCCACTGGTGTCCACAGCACTAGTTACCTAAACACATAGCTAAAATCACAATTTAAAGATCAAGACAAGGGAACTGGTTGGATGACTGGCACGTGTGTCCTCACTCACCTGAGGAGATGCCCCTCGGGCCCTCTCCATCCAGAGCTCCCTGCGGAGCCGAGCTCCAGGGTGCTTCCCCTTGCTCCAGCTGGAAAATCAGAGCCGGTTTGGGAAATGGAAACGCTGCTTGAGGGGAAGGAAATGGGACAGGCTGGTGAGTGGGTGAGAGAGCAATCCCATGGCTCCTCCCAGGCCCGTGTCTTCAGGGGCAGGAGGGGAAAGAAGGAAGATTACTAGGGAGAACAAGAAAAGGAAGACCAGGGAAAGGGCCAGGAGACCCAGGGGAGAGGGGCCAGGAGGCTGACAAAGGTCAGAAAGCAGAGTAAGAGGTGCTCAATAACTGGGTGATGATTAAAATAGATGATTTTACTCAATAAGGAACTGAGCTTTCCTGTGGTCTAAGTTCAGACACCTGCATGAGGATGCATGGTATTGGGCTGGGTCTCCCAAACTGAGGTGACAGGGAACTGAGGGCTCGGGGGGTGGGTGGGGGGCAACAGGACTCTTCTCTCTTCCTACTGTACCCACAGCACATGTGTTAGGAGATCAGAAGTCCTCCCCTGGGGGCAAGGAAGTCCCACATGAGGCCCAAATTGATACCAGGACTTCCTACTTTCAACCAACCACTAAGGTCGGGTCATTAAGAATCCAAGAGCCTGAAGTTGCCACTTAGCTGAGGGTTATCAAAAGCTCCTGAGTCTTTGAGGAAGAAGGAGACAAGAAATTCTGAAGGGCAGAGGCAGAGTCCAAAGGGAAAGACCCTTACCCAAGGAAGCCAGAGCCCCATAATTCTCCAGCATCACATCCCTGTACAGGGCCCTCTGAGCAGGGGCCAGGCCGGTCCATTCGTTTTCAGAGAAGTAGATGGCCACATCCTCGAAGGTCACTGACTCCTGAAACAACATGTGTTTAAATGCCCTGGGACAATCCCAGGACCCAGGCCTGGAATAAGGGGCAGACCAGGCACCAAGAAATACTGGAGTCGGTGCCCATCGAGTTTCTGGATTCTGAATGTCTAAGGGAACTCTCAGCAGATATTCACCCCTACTTACAAAGATATAAGGGATCAGCCATCAATCTTCTCATGTCTCTTCATTTTTACTTCAGCAAACATCCCCTCATCTTTTCAATAAGTCTCTGCAAGTTTTCCCTGTCCATCCCTACATGTGCTCTAGCTGCCATCCTTTCTCCAGTGTGTCTCCCTCAGAGGTCACCAATCCTTGACAAGAGCAACTACCACTGACTGTGCCAAGCACTTTACGTACATTACTCTGTGTGTGCGTCACAGCATCTGAGGAGGGTATGAGATCCATTTTATAGAAGAGGAAACCAAGGCTCAGAGATTAACCTCTCCCCAAGTTGCAGAACTGAGAGAGAATTCAGGCCTGTTTGACTCTCTGGCTCTTACCTACCTACTGTCCTCCCTTACCTACCTTCTATCCTCCCTCCTACCACCCCGGCTTTCCCTGGGGCGGACACTTGTGCTTCTCTCCCTCTGAGTCACTGCCACCAGCAGAAGCAGCGGTTCAGGGCACTTCAGAACATTCAGACTGTTCTAGAGGCTGTTCTCAACAGGGCAGAATCCTGACTCTACTCCCTGAGCTTGCCCACCTCAACACGCCCTCTATACCACCCCACCCTACTCTTTCTTCCCCACATTCTAACCTCAATGACCCTTTCTCTGTATCTCGGAGAGCCCCAGCTCCTGCACCTTTCTTTTCTTTTTCTCTTTCTCGCTTAAGAAATACAAACAGGGCCAACTTAGGGCCATCAGGACTGCTTCTAATTCTCAGAAACTGCCTCATTCCGGATCTCAATCTCCATACTATGGAGGGGCCAATTCCAGTTCATTTCATATCAGTCCTTGTCCTACAAAGTCCCCACAACAACTTATCCAGCACTCCAAGGCTCAAAGGCTTTGGCTGGTTCACCTTTGCCTACCTAAAAAAGCCTAAATCCTCTGCACTGCTGACAATTCCAGTCACCATTCAGCGATCCAGCTTACTTCAGGATTATCTCCTGCAAGACCACCTCATGCCCTGTCCCGTCACCACCCCATCATGAACCAAAACCCTTTCCTTGCCGGGATTTGTGCCCTTGCACCTGCAGTTCCCCCTGCCTGAAGATCCAGCTCCTTCCTCCTGCACCTGCAAACTCATATTTATCTCAAGACCCATCTCAAACAAAACCTGCTCTGTAAAACCAATCATGGAAATTCTGGCCACCCCTCGCCGCGCACAGCGCTCTGTGAACACCTCTGCCCCAGCACTGGCCCATGCCAGTATGCTTCCCTGGCCGCCGCCAGTCCTGGGGACGTCGAATTCACTCTGCCCCTGCCTGTTCCTCTGGGCCCTCCACTCTGGGTCTGTACCCCGAGGTCGCCGCACTACCCCCTCTCTGCCCCTCATCTGGGCCTAGATCCCGGGGCGGAGCCGAGCCAGCTCCTCAGCGCCGGCCCCGCACTCACCGGGCGCGACCGGGCCGGCGTGGCCTGTCCCGGCAGCAGCTCGAGCGCAGGGCCGAAACGGGCCCCGCTCGCCAGGGCCGCGGCCGCCCTCCGGGGAAGCGAGCACTCGCCAGGCCCGACTCGGGGCTGCCCCGGGTCGGGGAGGGATGTTTCGGGCCTGGGCGGGCCTGACATAGCGGCTCCGCGCCCTGGAGACTCCAGAGCAAGACCCACGGTCCGCGCCCTCGCCAACCCGCAAGCCTCACGCCCAGCTTCCCACGTTCTGCGTGAACCAGATCTCCGCACGGGAGAGGTGGAGGCTGCGGCACTCCTGCCATTCCGGCTTCTCTAGCACGGTGGAGGGCTCCGAGTCTCTGTGGTCCTCCCTTCTTGCCCAGCAAAGGAGGAAGGGGAGAGTGGTCCCGCTCTCCGACTGCAGCTCTGGGCGCTGCAGGGATTGGGGAGAGCAGGGGTGCTGGGAAGAAGGCTTCCTCTTGGAATCCTTCCCTGACCCCTTTCTCCCCACTGATCACACTTCTTCTCCACCTCATCAGAATCTGGGAGGCAATGAGAAAGTATCTCATGTTAGCCTCCCACAGGGATAGGGACAGAAGCAGGAGATGGCCTCAAAAGCTCACAAATCTCCTCTCATCCTCTCATGTTCTGGAAGGATGACAAAGTGATCTGACAAGACTCAGAATGGCTATAGTTCAAGGCTTTGCCTGCAGGGCTTTTAGAGATATGTGCAGAATTGCCAGGGCACTATGGTAGAACCATTCCCCCACAATTTTACCTCCCAACTTCTCACACATAAAGAATTCTCGAGAGCGTAAGTCACCACGTAGATCATCAGATACTCTAATTAATTGTACTGATAGAGGCTTAGGCCAAATACATTCCATTTGTCTTAGGCAACACTAGACAAGAGTGACCATGACTGACTCACAGTACAACTAGGCTCACTGGAGGAAAGACTACAGTCAGGCTTCCCATCCAGAGCCAAGCTAGCTAAGTTATTAATCCAGGTGAGGAAAGAGATAATGGCAATGGCACATACCCCACCTACACTGGCCAGCAAGAAATCCAGGGGCAATACAACTGTAGGTTCTTTACAAATACCCTTTATTGTATTGAGGAATCTTCCCTCTATGTCTAGTCTTCTGAGAGACTTTATCATGAAAAGGTGTTCAGTTTTGTCAAATGTGTTTTCTATATCAACTGAGATGATCATGTAGGGCTTTTTCCCCCTCACCCTGTAAGTGTGATGTATTGATTTTCTCATGTTCACTCGCTGTTGAATTTCTGATACAAACCCCACCTGGTTATAGTGAATCATCCTTTCAATAGGTTGTTAAATTTGACTTGCTAATATTTCATTTAAGTCTTCTGCATCTATATTCATAAGGGATACTGGTCTGAAATTTTCTTTCATGTGATGTCTTCATCTGGCTTTGGTTTCACGGTACTACTGGCCCCACAAAATGAGTTATGAATGTTTCCCTCTTTAATTTTTTGGAAAAAGCTTGAGGATTGGTTTTAATTCTTTAAATGTGTTTGGTAGAATTCACAGTAAAGCTATCTGGCTTAGGATTTTTCCTTGTTGGGAGTTTTAATTAGTGACTTAATTTCTTGTTATCATCCTATTGAGATTTTCTACTTAGGAATTTGTCCATTTCTTCTATGTTATCTAATTTGTAAGTGTACAGTTATTCAGTGTTATCTTATAATCCTTCCTGTCTCTGTAAGTTTGGTAGTAATGTCCCCATTTTCATTTCTGACTTTAGTTATTTGCATCTTCTCTTTTTCTTAGTCAGTCTAGCTAAAGGTTTGTCAATTTTGTTGAACTCTTCAAATAATCAATTTTTGGTTTCACTGATTTTTCTCTATTGTTTTCTATCCTCTGTTTCATTTATCACTGCTCTAATCTTTACTATTTCCTTCCTTCTGCTAGCTTTGGGTTTAACTTGCTTTTCTTTTCTAGTTTCTTATGGTGTTAGGTTAGGTTATTGATTCAAGAGTTTCCTTTTTAATGTAAGCATTTGCAACTATAATTTTCCCTCTGAGTGATTCCACTATATGTCATTAAGTTTTGGAATGGTGGTTTTTTTTCACTCATCTCAAGGTGTTTTCTGATTTCTCATGTGAATACTTCTTTCAAGAAGAAAGCATGAGGAAGCTTATACATGGATTCCTTCAGACTCGACACGTCTTTTTCCCTTATGATTCAGATACGTATCCTTAGTACACCACTCTAATAAATCTTAATCATGAGTAAAACTATATGCCAAGTCCTGTGAGTTCTTCTAGGGAATCTCTGAACGGGAAGGTGGTCTTGAAGATCCCTGACACAAGTTGATCCAGGAACTAGAAGACATAAAACATGTAAAGCACTTAGCATAATTCTTGGCTTATGGTAAATTCTCAAAATAAGAATAGAAAATTCTTAAATAGGACTATTTTCTGATCTAAAGGCAGGGTAAAATAGTATCTCCCCCACATCTCCATTTCAAGGTACTGCTGTTGACTTCTGGGGGTGAGACAGTGGACAGGAAGTGGCTAGCATTGGAGGAGTCATCAATATCATCCAGAATTGGTACAAAGGGCAAACAAGCCTCAAAGGATAGCCAGTGCATCCGGACTAGAGAATCCCAGAGGAGAACCCTGATACAGGAACCACAGCAGGTTAACGAAACCCTTTGGTCGGTGCACAGTTGCTCAAAATTCTGTGCCGTATATGGGAATAAGAAGACATAAGATCAGTCAAGACCAGAAACCCACCTTAGCCCTGTCTAAAGAACTCAACCATCCTCCTGCCCACCATGGAATGTGCAAATGAGGTGAGCAACAAAGGAGCACAAAAAATGTTGAAGTATAACAGAACGATGCTCCAGCCGGGCTTATTGAGACAAGAACTTGGGCATAAGTGGTGGCTTCGTTCAGTGCCCGCGTTGGAAACAAACGGCGGTGTAGGTAACGAGGCAGCCTCTCTGCAGCTCCTCCCTCTACCCCCACTCCCTTACTGAGTGCTCTGCAGACGAAATGACACACAGTGCGTCGCGGAAAAGCTCCGCGTACCCACAGACAGAGGGCGCCGCCACACGAACAACTACCTACGATGCCTAGCCTACCCAAAAGCGCCATCGCGGAGGCCACAGGGGCGGAAGTGCGTTACGACTTTTCCGGACCTCGGGCCCGCGGCCGCTCTAGCAGGCCCGGAGGTCGCCTCTGCGTGTCGTTGGTCCTCCAGGACCGCCCGACCCACCACGGTGACTCCGCCCCTGCCCTCCCGCGTAGCTGCGGTGCTCGTTCTGCATTGCTAGGCTGGGAGCGCAGCTGCATGGGTCGATTCCCCTTGGGTCGGCCAGTCTCCACCTGCTGATACATCCGGCCACCCATTAGCGACCCCACTGCGCCGTACCCAGAAGCAAGGGTGGCTGGACCTGCTGGCGGCGTGAGAAGGGTTCAGTGCAGCGTGATGGGTCAAAGCAGGAATCCTCATTGAGCCTACCGAACCCGCATCCTACTAGAGACTCTTACCCTTCCTCTGAGCTCTCCAACCACACTGGCCCTAGAGTAGGTGTGCACCCCATACCTTGGGGTGACCCTGTCACAAGCCTTAGCCACCCTCCCACATCTACCTCTGGCACCATGCACGATGACACACAACAGGCATTGACCTGGCCTTGTTATCCTCCAGGCCTCCACTTACTACCTGATCAGTGTGGCCTCCCCATCCTCTTTCCCGCTCTGCTCTACTTTGCAGCGCTTAACACAACTGTGATTATATACTTCTTTGGGCAATGGTTTAGGAACTTTTCCCCTTCCTTAGGCCTCCAAGAGGGCAGGGACAGGGTCTATCTAATTTAAGGTTGTAGCAAAATTTCTGGCAATTAAGTATACAGTAAATATTTGTTGAATGGATAGATGGGGCTGTTCCAAGAAAAGATGGAATGAGTAAATGAGTGAGTATGAGTGAATGAATAAATGAATGAAAGTGAGAACGAATGTAAGATGGTGCTGCCATCCATTAAAAACTGAGGGACAAAGTTCAGCTCATTGGAGATGGCCCATGACAGTTTCTGACCATATTCTAAGGCTGGGGAGAGTTGATGGAGCTGAGTACTTGCTGAGCAATCAGAGAGGACTTTGTAGAGGCAGAGTGTGGATGTTTTCAGCTCTCTCCTGGGAGGAGCTGCATAGGGCAAAAGGACCTCACTGAAGAAAGCAATGAAAAGTCTTACAGTTGTCTGAGAAGACAAAGTCCCTGTTTACTGGTTATTTAGGAAGTTAAAGAGTAACTTGAGGGTCATTAGAATTTGTTGAATTGAGTCTGAACCTGCAGTTATGGGCCAGGCTGCTTGACTAAAGCCTTAGCGTCAATATCACAGCTTTCCTCTTCTTGGGCCTGCTGGCAGGGACCTGGCCTGACATCTCACAGAAGGCCCCCAGTAAACAGTCAGCTCACCTCATCCAAGCCAGGGAAACTGTCAGAAAAAGTCCCCACTACACTCTGAATCTAGATCTTTATGGTGAAATCAAGTAATTGGTTTGAAGTCCCTGTTATCTCTGACATTTCCTAATTCCAATATTCCCAATCTGTACTTCTTGCTAGAGGAGTGTGCCAGCTGACTGGCAAGAGGCTCAGGGCCTGAAATCTGAACCTGTGCTTGAAGGGACCTCCATCTGGGAGGTGCTGTGGGTCTTTTAAAAAAGAGGAGAGGATGGGTGTGAAACTTAGTAAGTACCTGGTGCATTTTGGCTAACTGAGCTAGCAAATTAATGAATACATGAATTCAGGAGTAAATAAAGGAGAGAATAATCAATAAGTCACAGGAGTAAGAGTGGGGTCAAAGACTTGGCAGAGAAGATGTTGGAGATGGTTCTGAAAAAGTCAGAACAAAGCCTGAAGCTAGTGAGTAGGCTGTAACCATAGCTCAAGTCTTCCTTCTGGCCTTCTTCCTGATCCCACCTCCTCCTCACACATGACCAGGTCCTGGAAATTCCCTGGAAATTTTGCTCCCAGGTACTATCTCGCCAGAGTTATTTATGGTAACTTGCAGCTACAGGACAAGGTCCACATGGACAAACTTTCCCATCCCCAACTTGTCAAGTTCTCCCAAAAGCTCTCTTCTGGCAGCCAGAAAACAGTGTATCCAGAGCTCAACCTGGAAGAGCACAACCATGGTGCTCTGGGGGCCAGTGCTGGGAGCCCTGCTGGTGGCCATTGTCGGGTGCATGTGGCTGCTGGGGATGCTCCGGCAACGAAGACCCAGGGAACCCCCTCTGGATAAGGGCTCCATTCCCTGGCTGGGCCATGCCATGGCTTTCCGGAAGAATATGTTTGAATTTCTGAAGCACATGCGGGCCAAGCACGGGGAGATATTCACAGTGCAGCTAGGGGGTCAGTACTTCACCTTTGTCATGGACCCCCTTTCCTTTGGCCCCATCCTCAAGGATGCACAGAGAAAACTAGATTTTGTGGAATACGCAGAAAAATTGGTGCTAAAGGTATTTGGCTACCGCTCCGTGCAGGGAGACTACCGGATGATTCACTCAGCCAGCACCAAGCACCTCATGGGGGATGGCTTGGAGGAGCTCAACAGAGCCATGCTGGACAGCCTGTCCTTGGCTATGCTGGGGTCCACCGGCCCAAGTCCGGATGCCAGCTGCTGGCATGAGGATGGCCTCTTTCGCTTCTGCTACAACATCCTGTTCAAGGCCGGCTACCTGAGCTTGTTCGGCTACACAAAGGACAAGAAGCAGGAACTGCTCCAGGCGGAGGAGTTATTTGTGGAGTTTCGTAAATTCGATCGCCTGTTCCCCAGGTTTGTCTACTCCCTGCTGGGGCCCCGGGAGTGGCTAGAAGTGGGCCGGCTCCAGCGTCTCTTCCACAAGGCACTCTCTGTGGAACACAACCTGGAGAAATGTGGCATAAGCAACTGGATAACCTACATGCTGCAGTTTCTGAGGGAGCAGGGAGTAGTCCCAGCCATGCAGGACAAGTTCAACTTCATGATGCTCTGGGCCTCCCAGGGTAACACGGGGCCTACCTCTTTCTGGGCCCTCCTGTTCCTTCTGAAGCACCCAGAGGCCATGCGGGCTGTAAGGGAGGAGGCCACCCAGGTCCTGGGGGAGGCCAGGCTGGAGGCTGGGAAGTCCTTCGACTTCAACATCAGCGCCCTGCACCAAATGCCAGTGTTGGACAGTGTGATGGAAGAGACACTGCGGCTGGGGGCTGCGCCCACCCTCCTCAGGGTGGTGAACAATGACCACATCCTGAAGATGTCCAATGGGCAGGACTACCTGCTCCGCAGTGGAGACATCCTGGCCCTCTTCCCTTATCTCTCAGTGCACATGGACCCTGACATCCACCCTGAGCCAACTACCTTCAAGTACGATCGCTTTCTCACTCCCAGTGGCAGCCGAAAAGTAGACTTCTACAAGGCAGGCAAGAAGATCCACCACTACACCATGCCATGGGGCTCGGGCGTCTCTATCTGCCCTGGCAGGTTCTTGGCCCTCAGTGAGATGAAGCTGTTTGTCCTGCTCATGGTCACACACTTTGACCTGGAGCTGGTGGACCCTGACACACCTGTCCCACCTGTGGACCCCCAGCGCTGGGGCTTTGGCACTACACAGCCCAGCCACGAGGTGCGCTTCCGCTACCGCCTGCGGCCTGCTGAGTGAGCTCTGCCCAGGCGGCCGCCAGCCTGATCGGGGGGGCTCCCATGGGGTCCCCTCCTTGTCTCGCCCCTCTGAATCACCAGACCTCGCATTGGCCACCCCTTCCTCTGTCCTGCTTTCCCTCCCTGCTCTTTGGCCTCCTCCTAGTCACCTCACAAGCTTATCATCCTCTCTTTAAAACACTGTCTGTTACAGTGGATTCTCTGGGGAAGGGGAAATATCTTTGGGCAAGTCAGTTTAGGAGCAAATACATGCCTTGACAGGAGCTGCAGTACAGAAACTGGGTGTGGTGAGTAATAGAGCATTTTGCAAATGTTAGCCCCCACCCTCCCACTCTGTTTTGTTTTTGTCCTCAGCACTTATGCCAAGTCCTGTGGAATTCTGCTTCTGGAACAGTGTCATCCAATAGCAGCACGAGGCAAGCCACATGTGTAATGTTTAATTTCCTATGGACACATTTTAAGTAAAAAGAAACAGGCAAAATTCTTGTTTATACTATATTTTGCTTGACCCAGTAGAGCCACAATATGAGCATGTCCACATGGAATCAACATAAAAATATTAATGAAATATTTTTACATTTCTTTTTTCCGTATTGCCTTTGAAATCTGGCCTGTACTTTTTACCCTTGCAGCATATCTCAGTTTAGACTAGCCACATCCTAAGTGCTCAATAGCCATGTGGGGCGAGTGGCTTCTGCATTGGATAGAGCAGGTCTAGAGAAAGGCTGCTTTTCATGTAGGAGTTGTTCAAAGCCCTTCCTCCCTGCCCTCCTCCCCTCTCTGCACCCCCACCTCGGAGTGATTTCAACCCCTCACTTGGTTTCCACAACCATCACTGAGCTCAGAGCTCTCTCTTTTGTCCAGACTCCCAATCCCCCAAACAGGGGTCTCACAGCACCTCTGACTCAGTGGGGCCAGTGCAGAACTCAACAACTGTCCCCCTACTTCTGCCCTGAACCCTTCTCCTGATTTCCCTGCCTCTCTCTGCTCAGGACATGACTTCCAACCCCATCCCTCAAGGCAGATATTGGGGAGACACCCTTACCTACTTCCTTTTTCTCACCCAGTTCTGTCAGCCCAACTTCCTGTGGTGCCTCTGAACTCCATCTCCCCTCCCCTACCCCAACTGCCATTCTTATAGCTCAGAACTTGGCATTTCTCTTCATGTGGGGCATGCAGACCCTCTGTTTACCCTGCTGCCAGAGACTTTTTCTCCAAAAGCACCTGTTTGTCCCCCTTTTACTTTTCTGGCTCCCCATCAACTCACACACCTGAAATTTAAGTTTTCCCACAGCTGGCCCCCAAATTTTCTAACCAGTGCAATTCAACTTCAGCAACTTTCTCCAGTGGAACTATCTGTAAAGTATAGCATTTGCTTTCACTGTTAATCATGGTGCCAGCTACTCCCATAAGCCTTTTTGGACCTCACCCATCCCATCCCACCCTCTGGCCACAAAAGGCCTCCATCCCCTGGAGCTCCCCTCACACTGTTTATATCACAGCACATCTGTTATGTGTCATTGTTTCTGCCTCCCACCCCTTGTTCCAGACTGGAGCCCTGAGGTGTGGTATCTTATTCCTTCATCTCTGACCCCAATTCTCTAAATGTAGATTAAATTACAGAAACCTGACTTCCAGTCTCGGATAATTTACTTCATGTCTTCAAGTAATTTCCTTACCCTTCCACCCTCACTCAGCTTTCCCGCCTGTGAAATTGAGACAGGAAGAGGGCAGGGCACAGCCATTCAAGGAATAACACAGTAATTAACACCAGTATGATGGAAGATTCAACCCCCAGTAGGCCTTGAGGCTCAAGATGGTGGGAGGTTTGACTTCTAGTAGAACTTGAGCTTCATTATATGCTCATTGTAATGTGTTAGCATGGTGAATTACATGCCCACAGATGTCACGACAGTCCCAAGGCTAGCCACAAAAGGTCAAAGAGTGGGAAATGGCTGTCTTCCTGGGAATCCCAGCCCTTTCCCCAGAGTAGTTAGACTGGTCCTTCCACTTATTAGCATATGAAGCTATGACGCCCATAAAAACTGGCAACACAGCACCTTGTGGCCGCCTTTTTGCTCCCTCCTCTTTGGAGATGGCCCACACTCTGTCTATGGAGTGTGTACCTACTTTCACTCTAACCTGAGCACCCAACCCTGAAACCTTCTCTTGCCTTTTGAAACAGCCTACACTCTACACAGTATGTGTCTCTCTGAATAAATCTAACTTTACTCAATTGTGGCTCACTCTTGAATTCTTTATTGTGCGAAGCCAAGCACCAACACTTGGCAGGGCACCTCCCAGGGTCTCAATGGAGAGACCTGGGACATGACCATCCTCATGCCCCACATCTGTTTTTCCTGCATCAAAATGGAGACAATCCCTGTTGCCAGGCATGCTTACCAGGGCTGGGAGAGGGGGAGGGGTACAGCTGGTTGATAGCAGAGCCCTGGCTGGGGCTGAGAAAGGAGGCGGAGTGACTGCGGGGCGCTGGTATAGGGTCCTGGAGAAGGGAGACCCAGGCAGCAGGACCCCCTGCAGGGACCACCCAGGGAGGCTTTTCTCTGCTACTCCAATCCCACATCTCTGACTGGCCTCTTCCTCTCTCTCGAGGTTGCCTGTTCTGCCCTGAGTTTTGCTAGAATAACAGGCTTTTACAGTGGGCAGAGGCCAGGCTGGGGGCAGGAGTCTGCCCTCACTAGCTATATGACTCTGGGCTGAGGCTTACCTTTCTCTGGGTCTAGCTGCCCCAAAATGACATCTGCCTGGAGCCTGATGGAGCTCTGATTGACTAGGGGAAGCCATCTAATCCCCCTCCCCCAGGGCCAAGAGCAAAAGGAGAAGTCAGTGGGGAGCACAATAGAAAGAAGAAGGGGGTTGGGAAGCTGGGAGACATCCTTGGGAAGCTTACCAGCAACCTCCTCGCCACAGCCAGGCCTTGTGCCAGACCAGGTGTGCAAATATCCTATCCCGTGCCTCCTTGGCCCTCCCCAGAACCGGGTGCCACATTCCTTCCTTTTCTCCACACTCAAAGGAATATGGACGAGGAGCCTGGCCAGTGGACAGGCTGGGGCAGGGCTGAGGGCCTGAGTCCACTAAGTCAGGACCAAAGTCAACTGAGAGTGACCATGTGCAGATGTCCCAGGACATCATGGATCCTGTGATCTCTTTGAGAGTGTGCTCAGAACCGAGGGAAGCCTCGGTGAGTCCGTGTGAGGTGAAGACAAGTGTACCATTCCACAGTCAGGGACATCCACCATAAAACCAGGCCTCCTAGGAAGCAGTGAGCAGCCAGAAGGAGCATGTGCAAGTAAGAGGCCCATGCCCACCTGGTGGCAGGGGAGGAGCCCCTGGCACCTGTGGTTCTACACCTCTGCGTGGGAGCTGCTGGACACACGCTGCACAGGGGCCACCCTTCCTGCCCTGGCAGAGACCTCGGGGCAGCAGAAAAACAGAGACCCCCAAGGATGCATCTGGTCACTGCCTGTCCTCAGCCAGCAGTTCTGTCTGCCAATCCCTCATTCCTGCAGCAAACTTTTTTCTCCCTGAGAGAAAAGCTCACTAGGTGCTTTCTCTCTGAGGATAGCTCATAACAGAGCAAGATCAGGGATGATAGGCCAGTTGTCATCCCTGGAACCGCAGGCAGCCCAGGAATTGCAGGCACCTGGGAAAATAAAGGGATTTTTTTCGTAGGAAGTAACTGCTCTGGATACTCACACCACACTTCATAAGGCGGAGGGTGGGCAGCCCTGCTCCCAGGCAGAGCCAGGCCTGCCCTTCTCCCTGGGTCAGCAGGGTGGAAGAATATCCCTTGTCTCATGGCCTGAGGGTCAAGAGAATCCTGGGGGCTTTCCTGAGACCCCAGGTAGGAAGTGCAGGTAGGCTGGGCAGTGCAGGCTCTCAGAACAAGGTCCAGGCTGGGAAGTCAGGTCAGGACAGAGAGATCACTGTCCTGGCCTGGGCTGTGAGAGCCCACCTCCAGCTCACTCTCTGACCAGCACTGACATGCCTGCTCACAAACTGCGCTGCAGTCTGAGCCCTCACTGTGCTCAGCTGTGGCATACGGCCACTGGGACAGCAAGATGGACCTGCAGCAGGCCTTCTCCTCCCCTTTGGGCACAGGCTTCAGGGCACTACTTCTTATACACCTGTGGTTTGCAAAGAGAGCATGCCCACACCTACACAGCTAGAGGAAGTCACATAGGAACACACAGAAAACCCGTGGGCACAGACTGACAGCCACATGGACACAGTGACGCCTTCATGTCAGATCCCCACACACAGCCATAGGTACTCCGCACAGCCCACACAGCAACACAGACACATGCACACAGACCACACACACACGTGCAAGGTGTCCCTCGCCTGGTATACCTTGCCCTATCCCATCGGTGTGTCATAAGCCCAAAGTCAGAGACTCTGGGTATCTAGACCCTGTAGGTACAGCTCACGCTGTGCCTCAGTCAGGCTGCCACATGGGCAGGACTGAGGTCTCCAGGTGGGGCAAGATTTCAGGAGCTCTAAAGAGAATCTCATCCCTCATGTCTGCAAACAAATCACCATTTTCAGATCCAGAGGATCTTCATTTCCCAGGGGACTGAGGAGCGCAGAGTCCTGCCTGACAGAGAGGAATCTGAGGCCTTGGAGTGAGAAAACTGAAGGCACCAGAGCTGAGAGAGATGAGGCAGTGGGGTGGGGGGAGACACAGAAGGAAAAATCAGCCAATTTAACTCAGGCAACATCCAGGGACAGCCCTGCTCACCACACACGTGCTGTGACCAGACCATCCCAAGCTCAGGGCGAAGAGGAGAAAGAGTGGGCAGAATACTGATCACCTGCTCAGTTCTCTAGCCATCCAGTTATTCATTTAAAAAAAAAAAACCTCAGTGAGTACCTACTACATTCTGAGACTGGCTTAAGCACAGGGGAGGCAGATCTTATACCTGGCAAAGTCCCTGTTCTCCTGGAGCTTACATTTGCCCAGCCATGTGTCCTCCTGGCCTTGTTCCATCCACCTAAAAGTTTCCTTCTCACTACTGCCTGCCAGGCTCTGTGCTGGGTTTTGCAGGACAGGCATGGCAGGACGTGGACAGGTTGAGCCAGGTGGTTCTGGGAGGTGGGGGAAAGCAGTGAGTGCTTTAGAAGTTCGAGAGATGCCACCATGGGCCAGGGGCTCCCCAGGGAAAGGTTTCTCAGTGTATGTGCCAGTGGACAGGGAGATGCCAACCACCAGAGACATGAAGCACCCAGGCAGGGCGTACCAGTGAGGAATCCTTAGATCGCAAGTAATAAAACACTCTACCCCAAACCAGAAAGGCATTTATTGGTTCACATAACTGCAAAGTCCAGGTTTGGGATGAGCTTCAGCAGTGCCTTGATTCCAGGGCCAGAGCACTGCCCCCTGGATCTTCTCACTTACAGTGCTGTCACCTCACCTTCTAAAGCTTGAGATGAGGAAAGAGCAACTCCAGACCTCACATCCCCTTCAGCTTCAGTTTCATGCCTCTGTTCTAGCATGTTCTAGTTGAGTTGCACTTCACCAGCTCTGCTTGGGTCACGTGTCCATCCCTAAATGTGTTACTGAGCCAGGGAATCATCAGGCCGTAATTGGATGAGTTGACTCATGCTCTACCCAATCTCCACCCAAAGCACAGGGCAGATGACCAAGGAGTGGTTTCCCAGCACCAGCAGGATTCAGTTACACAAGGGTGAGGGGATACCTGGCTGGAAAATGATCCCTGTTCCATGAGGGAGCTGGCAAGCCCAAAAGCAAAGAGATGGGAACATGCAGGAAACAACAAGGAGTGCCTGGCATCTAGGAAATGAAAATGGGGATGAAGGAACAGAAGGGAGAAAAGGTGTCTGGGATCCTAACTGTGAAAGCTCCAGCCTTAATGTCGGACAAAAGTTCTAGACTTGATGGTGCAGGCTCCCAGGAGCCCTGAAGGCTCTTGAGAGCAGGCACAGGAGGCAGGAGGCATAGGCTCCTGGGTCACCAGATAGACGCGTTCACTCTGCCTCTCACTTGCAGACTCCCACAGGTAGAGCACCTCTGGCCCCTCCTGATTGCCAGAGCCTGGAGCCACCATTTAAAAATATCACAATAATATTTCCCCAACTGGGCCTGTTGGGTGGTGGGCCTTGGGCTCCTCCGAGGGAGATGGACGTGATGGCCTGATTGCTCTGGCTGCTGGGTGTAGATCAGATGACAGGAGAGCAGGACAGGAAGCACAGAAGTCAGCTGGGAAACTACTGCAGCAACTCAGGCCTAGAAGGCAGTGAAGACAGTGGAGGGAGAAGGCAGGAGTGAGTACATGCTGCTGATGGCCAAGAACCAAGAACTGACCACCGAGTTCGCAGCAGCATGGTCACTGAGGCCTCTGAAGACAGGACTCCGGAGCAAGCGCAACTGAACCGGGTACCATCTGCTCTCACGGACTGTGGTCTGGCCGCTCAGGCTGAATTTTTCCCACATCCCCCTTGTTGGGGACGTCCTCAGCCTGCCTTTCCCCAAGGTCATTCATGCCAGTTATTTCTTCTTGGGCAGTGAGTCTGCTACTCTCAGAACAGCTGGACAGCGGGGCCTGGGCAAGGTGAGGTGCCTGGTGCCGTCTGAGCACAGTGGCCAGGAAAGCCTTGAGGTGCTGGCGGAAGCGGCGGCTGGAGAAGGTGTAGAGGACCGGGGTGAAGCCGCAGTGGAGGAAGGCGATGCTCTCTGTCACCTGCAGTGCGTAGTCCAGGTGCTGGCTGACCCTGCAGTCCCCGAAGACTTGCAGGTCCAGCAGTGAGTGCAGAAACAAGGTGAGGTTGTATGGGAACCACAGCACAAAGAAGGCCACCACCAAGGCTATGGTTATCCTTAGAGCCCGGCCCTGGCCTGGGGGCTTCATCCTGACCAGGACAGAGCCAATGCGGGAGTAGAAGAAGATCATGGCAAGGAAGGGAAGGACAAACCCCAGGAGGTTCTGCTGGAAGCGGAGGAAGAGTTTCCAGGTGGTCCCATGCCCCCCGAAATCTGCATAGCAATTCCACACACCCAGGGGGTTTTCATGCATCCTCACAAAGATCATGTCAGGGATGGAGACAGCCAGGGCCACAGCCCATACACTGGCAGCAAAGAGCAGGCTCTTGGCCCTGGTCCTCAACCTGCGGTGAGGCCAAGCACGGACAATCTCCAGGTACTTGTCCAAGCTCATACAGCTAATGAAAAAGATGCCACTGTAGAAGTTAATGGTATAGAGGGTGCTCACCATCTTGCATAAGAAACTCCCAAAGACCCAATGCCAGGCCACAGAGATGCCCCAGAAGGGCAGCGTCACCACAAACAGGAGGTTGGAGATGGCCAGGTTCAGCAGATAGATCTCTGTCATCCGTCTTTGAGGCACGTAGCGGAGCAAGACCACTAGAAGAAGGAGGTTTCCGCCCAGGCCCAGCACAAAGATCAGGCTGTAGAAGACTGGCAGAAAGACTCTGCCAAATGACATCACCTCGTCCTTCCTGCAGAGCATGAAGGCCACCTGGTCCAGGTAGTACTCATAGTCATAGAAGGAGCTGCTGTTTTCAGAAGTAGCCACCTTGGTGGTGGGTGGCAGAGGGGAGGCGGTGGCAGCCATGTCCAGAGGAGGCACCTGGTCCTGGAGCTCTGCAGGCCAGAGAGCAGTGGGAGAGACACAAGATGAACCCAGGCATTCCGTTCCTTTCTCCAAACCCACTTTTGCTACTGCTCTGGGGTGTCCAATAGACTCTTCACATTTACATCAGTACCTGCAGTCTAGCAAGTAAGAGCACAAGTGTGGGGAGCCCAAGTCTACCACCCAATAGTTATGTCACCTTGGGTAGGTTTTTTCATAGTATTCACTTCGTTTATTATGATTTCTCTTCTTTATTGTCTCCCTCATCCTTTATAGACTGATGTCTTTCACGTTTTTCTTTATTACTTAGGGATACCAATTCACCCATTTATTATGTCTACATTCTCTTCCTCTTGTGTGGCTTATAATTTTTTTTAAATGAGAGCAACTCTTCAGTAGGACTTGCCTGTTCTATAACTATCCAGTGTGTCTACTCTGGCTTTGAGGTCTCTCTGCTTCTCTCTCTTGAGGATTTCTCCTGCTTTTGTCATTTTAAAAATATTTTATTTATAAGTATTGAGTTTTATATCAGTATTTTCAGATGTAAATATTTAACATTTAAAAAATATTTTATCTAGTATTTGTAGCCGAAAGGTGGGATCCACGTTGGTAGACTCAGAATCTACTAAACCTTTCTATCCCTCAGTTTCTCCATCTTTAAAATTATATTAATAATAGTGCCTACTTTGTGGGGTCTTTGTGAGGCTTACATATGATAATTCATGCAGAGTATTTCAAGCTCTATGAAGAATGCCCAGAACATAGGAGGCACTCGATAAACATTAGCTTAAATTCTTGCTCAGCCCAGAGCTGAGTTCATCATTTCCAAACCAGCCTCTTCTCCTCTCCTGTGTCTATCTAACTGAATGGCACTACCTACCACCCAATCATCTAAGACTGAAATGTGGGAGGCATCCCAGATCCCTTCCTTACCTCCGCTCATCACCACCCTGTGAGTCACTGCCTTTCTTACTGCCTTCTGAATGCATTTGCTATCTCCAGGTCCCCTAAAAATATATACATGATACTCTTTTAATATAAAAATTAAGACAAATGAAACAAATGTGTGTACACATATACTGTGAAGGAGTTCAAAGACAGGGGAAAGACAGGCACAACATTCAAGATGGCAGTTGCCTGGGCAGGAGAAGCCAGAGACATGGGATGGGGGTAGATCACTGTCCATGGACAAGTTCCCTCTTGGCAGTGGTTTCCCAGGTTTGAACTGTACTATTAAAAATCATTTTTAAAAGAATTTCTCATATGAGGTTCATAGGAGAGCCTCATATGAACCAGTGATAAAAGTCTGTCACAAGGGGAGGGTATAGCTCAGTGGTAGAGTGCCTGCTTAGCATGCATGAGGTCCTGGGTTCAATCCCCAGTACCTCCGTTAAAATAAACAAACAAACAAACCTGGTTATCTGCCACCCCCTCCTCAAAAAAAAACCCAACAAAATTTTAAATTTAAAAAAAACAAGAGTCTGTCAGGAATCAAGTATTTGCTTAATCCTGCTCTGTGTACCAAACGGAGAGAGACTTCATATTCAACATATTAGATTCTTTGCCATTGAGGAAGAGGGTTTAGGGAAGAGAGACGAAGAAGGTAAAAAATAATTTGTGGCCCAAGCAGGCAGTCATGGACAGCCACCAGTAGGGTTTGTAGGCTGGCAATGATAGTGGCCACAAACCGAGAAATGCAAACAACTCCACGTGTACCTCTGCATTTAATTTTTAATTATTTGATTCCAGTGAGGTTGAACTTTTTAATATGCTCAATGCCAGTTTGTATTTCTTCTGTGAATGATTTATTGTTTTAATGGGTGGGATTCTCATTTTATAAGAGGTTTTATATAGTAAAGATTTTACCTTTTTACACATATATTGCAAACATTTTCCCCAGTCCTTCCTGGTAGAAGTTTTGTCTATTTTTTTTTCCAGGTAGAATTTTGAAAGAAATATTGACTCAGGCCCTGAGCTGACTCTTCTAGCATCCCTGACACTGTAACCTTACGGTTGATGGAAATATGTAATCCTGCTGAGGCAGAACCTCCTCCAGGGGAGCCCTGGGGTCCTCCCACTCCTCAAGCCTCTGTCCCACCCTTGGGCTCTTGTCAAATGGCATCTGGGCCAGATGTTGGGGAAACTCACACACACCCTGTCCCCACCCCAAGACCTCAGCATGGGCGGCTTTATCTAGGGCCAGGCTCTGCTCCTGACTGGTCTCAAGAACTTGGCCCTGTGCCTTCCTTTTTCAGTCCTCCATTCCCCTCCTGTGCATCTGGGGTCTCCTGTTCCTGAGCCCCTTCCTTTTCCAGGCAGCAGTAAGGAACCCCCAGCACATCTAGGAGTCTGCGAGCTGCTGGGGTTGGAAGGAGAGAGTGCCCTTCTGCCCTTGGGTCTGATTACGGCGTATTAGTCAGGAGTTTCAGGAGTGGCCACTAAGTAAACACCAATTCTTCCAGTCTGTCAGCCCCGACCTTGATCCTGACCTGGCCTCTCAAAGTCCCTGACTTTTGCTTTAATAAACAATCAAGTCTGATGATTGCTTTGATTAAAGCCAGAGGTCAGGGTCAGCAGGCCCCAGGCTGGACCAGGTCACTTTTACAAGGCTCCCTTCACCTAGATCACTCTATTCCCTTCCCTCTCAGGGCCTCTGGCCTCCAGATCTTTCACCCTGGGAGTTTTTCCACATCCTCTAGACCTTAGAGGCCACCAGTCCCTCACATCATTTTCACCAATAATACCAACAAAGATGACAATAGCAACTGGCACCCGTATATGCACCTGACAACTGACCAGGCATCGTCATATAAACTGTGGTAGTTCTGTAAGGCAAGCCAGGAAGAAGCCATCAACCCCATTTAACCCAGGAGCAAAGTAACTTCTCCACAATTACACAGGAAGTCACAGAAATTCAGATTCAGGAATAGTGCCTTGTCCCTGGTCCCATTTCATCCTTGGCCTCTGTCCTGCCCTGTCCAGCAGTTACCAAAAGGGACCACCGAGAAAGGTGATTTGAGCTCAGGAGGTCTTGGTTGCCGTGGTTTTGCCCTCAATGCTTGGTCTAGACTCTAGATTCCACCATTAATGCCCCTAAGGCTTTATTGAGCCTCTTTGGGAACACACAGCCTCCCTACAGACAACAGAATAGCCTCCCAAAGATATCCACATTCTAATCCCTGAAACCTGTGAATATGTTACCTTATAGATCAAAAAGGACTTCGCAGATGTGATTAAAGATCTTGAACTAGGGAGAGTACCCTGGATTATCCAGGTGGGGCCTCTGGAATCACCAGGGTCCTTCATAAGGGAAGCAAGAATGTCTGAATCAGAAAGGGAAATGTGACAATGAAAACAGAAGTCAGAGTGATACAATTACAAGACAATGCATGCAGGCAGCCTCTAAAGACTAGAAAAAGCAGGGAACAAATTCTCCCCTGAGCCTCCAGAAGGAATCCAGCCCTGCTGACCCAGTTTTAGATTTCTGACCTCTAGAACTTTAAGATAATACATTTGTGTGGTTTTAAGCCACTGAATTTGTGGCAATTTGACACAGTGGCGCTAGGTAATACACTTTCTGTGACCCTTTGTACCCTCTGAATATCAGACTGAGGAAATGAGAGTGCATCATGTCCACCTCCTTCAACATACAGATGAGGAAATTAGACAGAAAACAACTTGTGCAAAGCAGACAGTGAGTGGGGGTATCAGTTATTCACATCCTAATGTGATTTAGCAGATAGTAAGGCAACCCCAGATGAAGCTCTGAAGTAGAACCCTGGGGAATCCAGAGAACTAGATAGAGGCCAGAGAGGGAGGCTTCAAGGGGGAAGGACAGCAAGGACAAGGTCAGCTGAGCTTCCCCTGCAGTGAAGCCAAGGGCACAGAGGCACACCACAGCTTGTCTCTGGGGCAGTAACGTCATCCTCCCACTGGCTTCCTGAGGCTGCTGGCCTGGGCTGGCTCCAGCTTTAACTTACCAAGAATCTGGCTAGAGAGTAATGTCTTCTCCTGAGGATCCAGGGCTCACTTCCCGAGGCCCCTCAGAGTAGTCCAAGTTGAGGCAATAAGAGAGAGGATATGGCTATGTTCATCTAGACTGGAAGGTGGCCATGGTAGCTGATCTCCATCTGTGAGCTGGACATTCACATGTAATGTCCTCATTTAATCTGGGAAGCAGTACTGTTATGATGCCCATTTTCCAGACAAGGAAGCTGAGGCTTGGAGACGTGAAGCCCAATCACCCATAGCTTGAGATCAGCAAATGATGGGCTCAGGATTGAATGGCCCTAACAATACAAGCTAGAACTGAAACAGAGAAGAACAAACCTGACTCCATATTGGTTCTGGAGCCTGAGTTTAGTCATGCTGGCTCTGCACCTTTTTCTCATCAAATGGTAAAAGAATGACACCTATAGCCTGAAATATACATAATAACCCTTTCTCCAGGCTCTGCTCCCCAGGCTTGACCTTTAAAGGCATAACACTTTTCATTCATATAGAAATAAAAAGTTGCAGAACAGAAAATAACACTTGTCTTGTTGAAGATTTACAGCATCGTCGTGACCAGATCCACAGGGACAGCTGCAAGAACAAAGGATTATTATATCCCCTCCGGGGTCTGGTCACCACCAAGAAGTCTGCAACAACCAGCCACACACCCTCCCCTTTTAGTATAAAAGAAGCCTGGATTCTAACTCAGGGAAGATGGTTCTTTGGGACACTTGTCCTCCATATTCTCAGTCTGCTGGCTTTCCAAATAAAGTCACTATTTCTCACCCCAACACCTCATCCCCAGTCCTGCAGGGGAGCAGTACGAGCTTCGACTCGGTAACAGAGCTGGTGATGCTTTTCCCCGAGCTCCCCTTTTCAACAAGGACTAAACTTGAACTTGAAGGATGAGCCTCTGAGAGTGGGACTTCTGGCCTCATCAACAAGTGGAAGAGAAGATTCAGAGCCATCTGCTGGGGCTGGCTCCTGCCAGCTTGTGAGAGCCCATAATGTGACATCT